TCTTAATTTGATTGGTTGTTGGTATTTGAATTTTTATTTATTTAATTAAAGTTTTTTAAAAGGAAACTAATCCTAGAATTACCTAATCTAATATATATTACCAAACAAACAATTAACCATCTTAAATACATATGATTATTAGAATTTGTTTATAGAAACAATTAAATATCACATATTCCATTATAAAAATTTAGAATATACATATAAATACATATTATATTATAGAAATAAGTATATAAACGATTTTAAATTTTTTTCTATTAATAGTGGATAAAAAATCGCACATTACAGAAAACTAATAATATTTTTACTACTCACTCACTATATATATGTATTCTTAAAATATGTTCAGTGAATGCAAAACAGTCAAATGCAAAAAAATTTAAAAAATCTATCATTTTCCAGAGATAAATGTCGATAGTATAGTTGAGTTATCACTTTCAAAAATTATTTAAGTATTTTTATATTTAAAACAGAAAATTATATGGTATGTCATTTTTAAAAAAAATATGAATAAATAAAAATTTTATTATAATATAAAATTACAAAAAATCAAAACATTATATTAATACAAGATTAGAGTTAATATTCAATTCATATAATTCATATAGCTTTAAGTATAATAAAATTGGCATGTTTATTTTTAATAAGAAAAAAAGAAAAGAGACATAAATAAAAACATGAGTGAATAATAATAAAACCTTTTTTGTATTCTTCGTTATTTTGTATTTGTACATACATATTTTTTTATTTGTATACCAAAATATTTTTTACGTATTAATATAATTGTAAGCTAATTATTTTTTAGGTTTTTATACAACATAAGGAAAAAATGAGAAAGGAAGATAAATATAAATGATAAGTTATAAAATTGTTAATGTTGAAGATGCAAAATATAACACAAATTAATTTTAAAATAAATTATTTTAAAATAATGATAATTACTTTTTGCGGTGTAATAAACTTTAAAAATATATGATAACAAAGTTATAACAAAATTTATACAACTAGAAACATGTTATTTTGATATATTAAAACTGTTGAATCTCATGTTTATATTAATCCATGTCTAAAATAATGACATCACATCATTTAAGAATTAAGATATTTTCTGTTATATAATTATTTAATCAAACTTACTTTTTTGAAATACATATATTTAGATTTACTTAAAATATGTATGTAATGAAGTAATTAAAGAGAAACAGAAATTGATTGAATTTCAGATGAAGTGAAAAAGTGATGGTTAATTCCCATTTGTACTTCACTTTTAATAGGATAGATATTGAATTTCTAGTTCTTTTTTACGTTATTTGAAAATTAAATTTCATAATTTCACAGATTCACAAATTCTACTGGTATTTAAACAAAGAATCTTTCAAGTTCATGCCAAATTTTTACTTTTCAAAGATTATAATAAAAATTTAAATNGTGAAAAAGTGATGGTTAATTCCCATTTGTACTTCACTTTTAATAGGATAGATATTGAATTTCTAGTTCTTTTTTACGTTATTTGAAAATTAAATTTCATAATTTCACAGATTCACAAATTCTACTGGTATTTAAACAAAGAATCTTTCAAGTTCATGCCAAATTTTTACTTTTCAAAGATTATAATAAAAATTTAAATTAATTTATTTTTATAAGATTTAGTTTAAGAAACTTCAACATTGTAGCCAAGCCATATGTTTAATCAATTAATAATTGGTCAAAGTTAATAATTAGAAGAAAAAAAAGGAAAAGAAAAATGCCAGCGAGAGGGAAATTAAAAAAAAAAAAAAAACGGCAGTTATTAGGTTTAGCATAAAGGAAGGCACTGCCGTCTTGTGTGTGTGTGTGTGTTTTTAGTCGCCACCCAGAAAACCCTCGTCTTCTCCTCTTCTTCCTCTCTCAAACTCGAATTCATCGAACAAAATGAGCAATGATAAGGATAGCTTCAACGTCGGCGATCTCACCGCTGGTAATTCATCTAATTCGATCTCCTTCCGTCTCTCTCTTTTGCTGTCCTTCGTGCTCAAAGTTTCCTCAATTCGAGATTTCTAACCTCTAGTTTCTTCTTATGTTTTGCAGCTCTCAAAGATGAGGATCGTGCAGGCCTTGTCAACGCTCTTAAGGTGAGTTTCTGTGACGTTTCGTTGATTAGGAGTGTAGATTGGAGTTTCTCTGGAGATTTTGTTGTGATTGGTAAATGTTTTTTTGTTGATTAACAGAACAAGCTGCAGAATCTGGCTGGGCAGCATTCCGATGTGCTCGAGAATCTGACTCCTAAGATCAGAAGACGTGTTGAGGTCTTGAGGGAGATTCAGGTCGGTGTTGTAATAGTTTCATTGTTTAATTGATAGGTATAGATGATTGATTAGTTATCTTGTGAACATTGTTGAGATTGATGAATGTTAGATGTGAATAAAGTAATGTGCATCCTTTTTGATGATTATATGAGAATCCTTTTTGCCTTTTCAGGGGAAACATGATGAAATAGAGGCCAAGTTTCGTGAGGAAAGAGCTGCTCTTGAAGCCAAGTATCAAAAGTTGTACCAGCCTCTGTATACTAAGGTAATTAATTGCTTGTGAGAAGTACAATCCATTTTGAAAGAAAGTTACTACTGGCTACTGTATCCAAATCAAAATGGTGGAAAGTAGTTGGAGACTTGCATATGTTCTTACTCTATTTTCTTTAGATGTAGCTATCTTGGCTTTATCTGTTTTCAATTTTTTTTCTTGAAACTCGACTGATACCTGGAATGTGCAGCGTTATGAGATTGTGAATGGAGCTACCGAAGTTGAAGGAGCTCAAGAGGATGTTAAGATGGACTTAGGAGACGAGAAATCTGCAGAAGGTATTCTTTTTTTCTCTCTTTACCTTTCTAAATTGTATCATTGCTTGAGGGAAAAACGGCTTTGCTTATTTCTCTTTGTTGGATTGCAGAGAAAGGAGTTCCTAGTTTCTGGCTGAACGCCCTGAAAAACAATGATGTTATATCTGAGGAGGTTAGTGTTTAAGCTTACGGTTTGTTTATTCGGAGTTACTCCCTCATGGAAAATGACCAGTGTTATTATTTCCTTTTGGTATCAGATCACAGAGCGTGATGAAGGAGCCCTCATGTATCTTAAAGATATTAAGTGGTGCAAGATTGAGGAACCAAAGGGATTCAAACTTGAGTTTTTCTTCGATCAGAACCCTTACTTCAAAAACGCCCTATTAACAAAGGCATATCACATGATTGATGAAGATGAGCCTCTGCTTGAGAAGGCTATTGGGTAATTTTTTCATACCTATATTTTATTGTAACATATCATTATTTTGTTATGCGATGCTTGTAAG